ATGAAACGTAGTGATTTAAAAAGAGATCTTATATCCTGGGCAAAAATCCCCTCGCGTTATACTACATATATATAGAAGATATAGGGACATTTTGCGTATGGCATATTGTTGCCGCCACAAAGCAGCTGCACTGCCAAGTGAGGTTTCTGTACCTTGGTTAATACTACTTATATGTTTAGATATCAATAAATAGTTATTCATAAAAAACTAACGGTTTAAATGACCAATTTACTTGATAAAATCGAGAAAATCAGGAAATTTCTAGTGCGACCCGCATAAAATCAACTTTTCATTAAGGGATAACTTCTTGAGCGATCTGACCTAAAGCTCGGAGGTTTCAGGCGTTCATTTATAGGTACTTAGTAATACAAAGACAGGCATTAAACAAAGTGCCAGCTACCAAATGCGAGAAAAAAGACTGTAACTTAAGTCCGTGTATTTGTGAATTTTCTTCTGATAGTCGTTGAGCGGTACTTATTTTACATTTGTGGGTATAAAATATACTTCTTTACTTCTTCCGAAGAAGAACCCTAGGTCATAGGACAACGTGCTACTAACATTTATAAAAAAATCGTCTTGAAATGTCGCACACTGGTGTCATTTAGCCCAACTTAAAAGATACGATAGCTTTTATCTCGATTAGACCAGTGGTTCTTAAACTTTTAAGATGATGGAACCCTTACTAAACACCTTTAATTTTATGGAACCCCACATCAAGTTACCAAAAATCAAAGGCATTGCAATTTAAATATGAGTAAAGTTGTTGATTGAAACAAAACAGTTGTGAATTAAAACAAAAAAAAAAACAATGTTTAACAAAATGGTAGAAAATTTGTGAAATTTCGGCTCTAATCATTTCGATCTTTCTTCGACCTCATTTGTAAAGAAATAAATATTGTACCACCATGCTGGTAAGTTATTGCTTCGAGCCTGATGGTACAATCACTTGATGGAGCCAGCAAGTTGGTGTCGTATGTTTGCGTGTATACTTATATATGTATATGTAAGTAAAAAATTTTAGCTACCATTTTAGCCTCAACGACTTTTTTCAGCTCTTTTTTAGCCCTTTTTTTAAAGGAATTTGGCTACCACTAAAAATGATTCGCGGCAACACTGCCGACCATTGCATAAAAACGATTCAATAGGGCTATTCGCGATCCGGTGCAAATGGCCTAGCATCATTGCATTGCAAATTTGTATTGCAGATTATTTGCAATACACAAACAAAATACACGCATTTGCATTTGTCATGGCTTGACAAATTTGCAATACCGAAAATCCATAATGAATGAGACTGTGTGCGTGGAAATCATTGCTCCGCTCAGTGTTGCCATTTTAGCCGTTTCCCGGCTAGATTTAGCCGGTTGCGATAGCAAACAGCCGGAGAAATTTCGATTTAGCCGGCAGCCGATTTGTTAGCCGTTTTGCAGAAAAAAATTATCCTTTCTTAGCCGATTTTGCTATTTCCCTTGTTTTCTTAAATTTCAAATATGTATATATGTTTCCATTTTTGACTAAGCGACCCAAAATCTGTTAGAAATGGCTACTAGCCTTATCGTGGAGAAAATTTTCATGTCAGGCAGGGTTGTATGAAATTGGGCCGATTTCGCTTATTTTTATGTTAAATGAAGAAGGGATTTTCTTCATAAAATGTTGTTGTAAATGTCTTAATTTTAAGTGTGAAGTTTTATTGCAAACTTAGAAAATAAGAAATTATTTCACTGTTAAGACACTAATACCTCTATTCTGTATCAGTGACAAATTTTTTTTTACAGTTTTGTTACGGAAAAATATATAAAAACTTTTTCGTTTTTCAGTTACAAAAGTTTTGTCGCCTATACAGAATTGGGCTGTTAAGATGCGTTTGTGTTTGCATATAGTGCCAACAAATAGAATAAATATTACATGTAGATATTGTCTTCCCAGATAGCGCATATTCAATTCTGCCTAAATTACAAAACATCATTTTTGCCCACTCCCAAAGGTTTAAGGTAAGGGGAAAATTTATATTTTCAAGCACTATGTACACATATGTATTTTTTTAAACAAACTTTTTTGCTGAGAACTTATTTAAATTCCAAAAACCGAATGCCAACTTGAATTTAAGGAACCAACACTGAAGTGAGTCAAAATGAATATAAAAGAGCACAAATTTCTATGTAAAGCAAAACTCTCTGGGAATCCTACGAGACATCTGCCGGTCATATGACCGTTCATCTAAATGGGAGATCTGTAGTATTTTGGCATCATATTTTACATCAGAATTGAAGGGATTTCTGAAAAATCTGACCAGTTCTTTTGTGTAACTGTGATTTTGCATCCCTTGTCAACATATGGCCTCGGTTAATGTTAACTTAAGGTCGTTGTTTTACTGCCTTAAAATTGAAGGGAAATTTTTACAGCATTTTTTAAGAGTATTGGTTTCTATTTGAGTGTATTGAGAATCGGTCAGTCTGAAAAGGCCTTGTAGGGAAGACAATAGGTTCGTCGAAAATCCAGCGAGAATTATCACTCAAAATATCAGATGGTAAGAAGAAATGCTCCCAAATTCTCTCTCATGTAGAGAAACTTGCAATTTTCTGTACGAACGCAAATTTGCAAGTTTTTCTGCCAGCTAGTGTCCACGGTTGCATTTCAAACAAAAGAAATTTGTATAGAATTTTAAAATTCTTTCAGACTGGCAAAAAACAGGATCTACGTGTATATGTCTTGTCAGTCCGACTTTCTTCAATATACGTTTCAATTTCTTTGTCGGGTTTACTATATCGACTCTGGTTGAGATTGGATTCCGATTAAGAATACAGTTTTTCTTTTGCCGAGTACCTTTCAAATCATTGGAATTAACTAAATTAATTAAGTAAACAAGTATTAACTTACATTTTTCATTTTAAAATCGCTCCAGTTTGTACATTTTTAAATTTAACGAACTTCTTTATTCAAATTATCGTAGACAAAAAATCCAACCATGCGCCACAATCATATGTTTTTCCTAATTGCAAATTCTTGCTGGCAAAATTTTTTCCGGCTCGAATTTGTAACTTCTCTCCAAGAAATAGTCTTTTTACTCGTGATTTATTTAAATAAAACATATGAAATTTAGTTGAAACATTTTAGCCGGTTTTATTTGCCAATTTAGCCGGTTCGTCCAAAAAACCAAATAACGATTTAACTGGGTACGGTTTAGTTATTTGCACAATGATTTCGGGCTATTGTGTCCGAATGGGTGGCCCGATCCAATAAATTTTACACACACTTGTAGTCAATGGTCTACACAGTGTTGCCACTGCGTTAGCCTTTAAAGTATCTATAAAAAATCGAAAACTGTATCCAAATGTATCCACCGAAAAAAGCGGACATTTTTACACAGTATACCTATGGAAGAAAAACTCGGCCCCTTAACAAAGTTATTCCCATCCTTAGACACGGATTTGGGAAACAAAGGCCCGTAGTTATAGTCAAAATTAAGTCGACTCGTCAAGTTAATTGCAGTTTTTTGACATAATTTTCTTTGAGATACCTGTCACAAAAGCTGCAACTAACTTTAGTGTCGACTTAATTTTGACTATAACTTTGTTTCCCAGTTCTGTTTCTAAGAATTGAAAAATATTAACTACAACTGCGGGACAAAGTTTCCGAATGATCGATGTTTTTGTTTTACTACGATTAGATTCCTACAAATAATACATCCAAAAAATGTTTCCTAGTCTATTAAAATAATACTAATTTAAACTAATTTTGACCTGTTACATTTAGTTCAGTAAATTGTTATTTCCTGCTATTATAGTTACAATGTTTTTCAATCAAACTGGGGGATTCGGAGCTATCTATGAAATTAAAAAAAAACTCAAAAACTTGTATTTGTCTGTAAATTCCGCCTTCATAAAAAATTTCTATTTCCAGCTTGTTTGAATTATCGCTTAATGACATATGTATGTATAACTGTAAATTTAGAAGTTATAAGTTATTTTTAGTACAGTCAAGTTATTGTTGAAAATTTGTCATCAATCTGGTTGTCAATGCCGGTTGTCAATTTCCTTTGAATGCTAAGAGAAGGGTTGCTCGGGGTGCAAAAGTTGATGTTTTCGCATTACAGTTAAGTAATACAGGTGGGAACACTTTATAAAATGTGTACACTACTTGATGTTATTAAATGCACGCACGAGAATTTCTCGATTGGAGGGTGACCAGCCAACTGTTAAAAATGTAATAATAGCTTGTACATAAATAAAAAAATTTCCTTTATCTTACGGATACTTATGGGAAAAGGTATCCAAATTTACACTGAGGAAAAAAACGACCTATCCCTCAAAATTTAAGGCGAAAATGTATCCAATTGGATACATATGTGTCAAAGCAGCAACATTGGGTCTACACTTTTATTGTAAAACCTAATTTAGTAATTTGCGGTCACTAATTTATTTATAAAATCGGTCTAAAAAATGAACTTTTTTTGTGATTCTCGGAGTGAGTTCTACGCAAATATACCGGGGATGGCCTACCCGGAGTTATATGCACAAGAAATGTTGAATACCTTTGACAATAGGAAGGTGTTCTGCACAAAAATACTGTTTATCGAGTTTACAGTTCCGGTCTAAAAATGGTAATTTTAGACCATTTTCCAATGGTTCTCCAGGGGTCTGTGATAGGATTCGGGGGGTCAAGTGTGACTTTCTGCAAAGTGTGAACTGTGCTCTTTCTAGTGGGTAAGATATTAAGGCCCACGCACCCTTCCCCCCCCCCCATCCGGCCATTGGACATTGGACCATTTAATATTGATATCAACACAGTTTTCCGTATTGTTTAAAATTTTTCCTTCGTAATTACTTGTCTCTCTCGCAATTGCACCAAAATGACGTCACACGAAAACTACACTCAAAAATCCTCTCTGATGGGCGCAATCTTGTACTCTATCATTCTTAGTATAAAATTATGAAATTTGCCTTTTATAAATATACACTTGCTCCTTACCAAGATTCTAATGAAAGCATTTATCTTCACAGAACATGTAAATCTGATAGCGGTATACGCGCCTTCACACAAGCCGCAAATAATCGTCCACCACGAGGCGCTGATAAAATACGTGCTGCCTCTGGACCATCGATATTACCCCGTCCCGAAGATATTTTAATTAATGATGCTGAGGTAAGCATACTACTAACACACACACACACATACTCTTTACACACATATGCACAAATAATTAATTTATTATTCCGCTTTTACATGAATTCCTTATTATTCGAATATGAAATTAAATATACTCTACTGCTCACACAAAAACACAGCTACGGCAGGAGGAGAACGTAGAGTTGCGATCCGCAGATGCTCCTATGGCACCACATCCACTGCCCATGCCGGAGTATGGTGGATACTTTGCCCCACTTACTGAATTTTTACCAGACGCCAGTTTGCCAATCAGCGGCTTTCACCGGTTAGTAAACGTCGATGTTGTTTTTGCATCCTTTGTTAGTTATCACTAGGAAGCGGATTTCCATGCACAGTAAATTGAAAAATATTCGCACATACTAGGCGTTTAAAACTGAATAATGGCTGCGTTTCTTTATACATTCCGGATAAACCCATTTCACAGCCGGAATAAACAGAATGCGTTTGGAATATACGTTAACATATCATCAGGAACGTTCTAAAGAATAAGTAAACAAAAAGGTTTATTCCAAACGTTCAGAATGAATAAAAAAATGCAGTCAATGTGTACATAAAATATGGAACAAAACTTAAAAATTCGCTGTCATAAATATGTAGTGCCTTTAAAAAAGTGTATTGAAAGCACAAACATTTGCAGAAATAATAGTACTGTACATAGCACATACATGTACATAAAGTGACCCAAGAGGAAATGTGACAGTTTTTTTACAATATTCACAATGATTATTATAGTTAATTATTTTCGTTAATTATTTTATGAGAATAAAGCTTATTCTATAATATAAACCATATAAATAAAAGCTTTGTGCAAAATTCACGAAAATTCAACAAATTTGTAAAAAAGCATTCATGTAGATTTCAACTTCTTTTGTTGAAGGTGTTTAGCGTTTGGCTCCATATAAAGCAGTGGTCGGCAGGCCATACCCAGTAGAAATCTTAAGCATACAACATCGCTGTTGGTGGCATGAGCTTGCTGCTGTGTATACATGCCAGTATAAATGAACCTTCATTTCCATATAACACGCGTGGTTTCTCAGAGCGTATGCGTACCTTAACATACACTTGTACTACTGCTGTATGCATATGGCTGTATTAAAGTTTCAAACATACAAAAATGCATTAATGGAAAAGCATTCTTACAAGATCGCCATATGTAAATGCTACTTTTCTGATACATTTTAATATACGGGGACTTACAAACAAGTAGCACTTACATATGCAAATGCATATCTTGCAAAAGCCCGTTTGTGCTGAAAATAGTATCGCACAACACGTCCGTTCACTAAAATTTTTGTACAAGACTAAAAATATTACAAAAATTCCACTTCAAATTTATCAAGAAATGTACTTAAAACAACGACAACGTACATTCGCTTGCAATTCGATAGAATTTGAATTTATTCGTGGATATTCATGACTACGCATGAATTTTCCACACTAATTCACTCATATAGCAAGCATCTTTCAAGAATACATACCACCGATTTCTACTGGGTAGCTCACTGAACGCTCTCTGAGCACATGTGTGTTCCACACGTATACGAAGAGCGGCAGCTGAGCAGTGCATTTAACGCATACAGCCTCACTTATTGAATCGTTTGAATGTGTTAGCATGCCGACTACTTATATAAAGCATACTCACTTTTTTTATATTAGCCGTCATCGATTCGCCAACAGTTAGCGAGTGGCGAAACGAACGAACTCAATGAAGTACAACCAAACGCGCTATCGTCTATCCGTGCTAGCTAACTTTGTTGTTGCTTTCACATGCAAACTTCTTCTTTAAGCGACCGGAACTCAAACATAGCGAGCGAGAAGTGGCGAATCGATGACGGCTATTGAAGAAAATATCCAACACCGTCAGCGGAAAAAAATCTCACAAACCAAGGCAGAGTTTTAGTTATCTTTAACAGCTTCCCTCCCTCTTGTCAGCAAAAGTAAGCAAAGTTCTTACAAAACAAAAATGCATTTGTTGGGAAATCCGTTCCCTAGTTGATACTTTTTATTTGCCATTATCTCTCTTTAACATTTGCGTTCCCATTGCTACTTTTAGCTGCAACGTTGCCGTGATGTTGTTAACAGACATTGTTGTCGACGGTATTCCGGGAATCGATTGGACGTTGCATTTACCATTGATGCTGCATATTTCATTTTTAGGTATAGATCATACGCGCGTTATTGTGCGAGAACATTGCAAGCAGCTTTGTATTAATTTACTGGTAAGTTGTGCTATTAACTCCCTTTTCATAGCCGTTGTGCGAATGCATTACTCCTATTTATCTGATGTTAAAGCGTTATTAATTTATATACATATTGCTCATTTACTAAAAGGCTATCATACCATTTTTGCTTAGATCGTTTTGGCTGAGCATAATGACCATCTTACTGTCGCTCGCATTTTGTTGAACTGCGAAACAATGAAACTCGACTTGGGGCTATCGGTGCCATCCTTGCCGGTAATAGACAACATATTTACAGGTGCGTATGAATTGTAAAATAGAGAGCTCAAAGTTACATTAAGAAAAACGTCTGATCAAAGTCATATTTCAGCAACTTATGGAAATAATGAATTACTTTAATAATTTTTAAGTTTAAAATAACGTTATCGAGCTCCAAAAGGTTCTAAAGTAAGCAAATACTAGTTTTCTTACGTTTATTAGCGTTCACAAAAATCCGATCAGCTATACCTTAAAACTGCAAGCTCGGGCGAAACCGAATTTTATACATATACCAGTCGCAGGTATCAACTATCGTCGTTCTAAATTTCTTTAAACTACCTAAAAGTCTATAAGTCTTATTTTTTGTTAAAAGATCTGTTCCACAACCATATCGTGCACGTCTTGTAATTTTTTAACAGGGTTCGGAAATTCTCACTCACATTCTCTCACGTTCGCGATCGATAATATTCCAAATCAATTTTTGCATTCTTTTATCGCGAGTGAAGAATGCAAACAAATTTATCATCTCTCACATTCGGAATGCGATCGACAAAAAAATTTCCGCTGCTTTTCATTCGCGATCGAAAAAAGCAAAGAAATTTCCTATCACTCGAATATGAGAAGTCCGAGCATTGCCGATTTTGGCCTCTCATTAATGAGAAAAACGATGCATATAATCCATTCGCGATCACTCACAACAGCTTATCGCGATAAACTTATCGCGAAAAATTTTCAACGACGTTGTAGGGGAGATATTGGTCGCGTTTGTTTTGGGTATGCATTTTGTTATGCATACAGCATACATACCAGGGTTGTTGCGAATATTGTTCCGAAATAAAAGTCTTTTCCGGATAATAAACAAACCGCTTATCCAAATTAAACAAGTTTGGTATCAAATGAAGGAGTACTTAAATAGCTTTAAAACTGAAATGTTTAAACGAGGAAAGCCACACATTGAAAAATATTTATATATTTAATATAATGTTAATTAATGACCATAGAACAAACCTTGTGTCAGGTATATGCATTTCTTTAGTAATAGATTATAAAAAAAAATATAAATAGAGGTCGTTCGTTATTTCTGTTTAAAAGCTATTTCAGTCCTCTTTCATGTGATACCAAATTTGTTTAATTTGGATAGGCCGTTTGTTTATTATCCGGAAAGGACTTTTATTTTGGAATAATTTTCGCAACAACCCTGTTACATACATATGCTTTAGGGATGTTGCGAATGTGGAATTTTAGACATCCGCGGATGCGAATGCGGATGCGAATATCTAACAGCTAACATCCGCGGATGCGGATGTGAATGCGGATGTCAAGTATTTTTAAGAAACAATTAGAATTTAGCATAATGGCGAGGTCGTTGTTTAAACAGCGCTTACAAGCCAAACAAGATGTGTCAGGTTTTTCTAATGGTGAATTAGTTTCTACCAAAAAAATTTCGCCTTTTGATTGCCCGTCTCTTTTTGCGTTCGATTCTAAATTAAAGGCAAAGGGTGAGAAAATTTTGTGTTCGTTTCTGAAAATGTTACATTATTGTAAGGCACATTCCATGCCCTGTGAAGCTTTGCCAGGGAAGATGGTTGTCCTGAAAATCAGATGGTTGTTTAAAACAGCAGTCTTATGAAATGGGTGAGCTAGACAAGGACAAGAAGGCAAAAACACGCTTTTTTACAGGGTTGTGTGGAACAGCAAACACATTTTGCACCGGGGAAGGGCAACATTTAAATCACCATAAAGCTTTTTAAAAAGAATTCTTCATTCTCATTCCTTTGGCTGTTTCAGAATTTGGGGAATCTGTAACTTCATCAGCGTTTTTCGTTTTCAGTTTCTGTAATTCATTTTTAATACTTTATTCTGGGGCTGCTTTGAAAAATTTGTACTTATAGCGAGCTGTGGAAAATAAATTATTATTTTCCAGGAATGAAAATTTTGAACAAAATTCTGTTTTCAAAGTCGTGACTGCCAGCCGAATCGGATCAGAATGTTGTTATTGTTTTTAAAACACCACCCTGTTTTTTTTATGCATTTAAATCTCAGATAGTTACGTTATTCTTATCTTATTAAAGGTCAGACCCATAGTTTTTTAATTAATCTAGCATCGATTGTCTTTATAGACAGACGTGGATCATTTCTGCTGGAAATCCCTATTGAAGGAGCTTACTCTTTGACTTTAAATAGCAAAGAAGGGACATTTTTACCACAGAAGTTTTTAGCCAAGGATCCAATGTATATCTCTATGATTGCCCGACAAGTAAACAAAATTACTGTTTTTAAAATTGTTCTAAAAATAAATTCCCAAAAGAGCCCCATTTGAAATTATTGAAACGACTGTATGTAACATCAAAAGCAAATAACGAAAATTTGGTTAAGAATTGCTGTACATTTTTTCTTATTTTTTATCAAGTAGTTTTAAGTTTGGTCCAAAAAAATCATAATAAAGAAATAAACCATTTAAAGTACAAAAAAAAATAAAAAAATGTTCAAAATACTATGTTTTCTTTGAAGTACTTCAAAGGTCAAGTAGAAGTTGGAACTTGCATGATTGTCCATTGATAGCTCGGTTATATAGCTAAAGAAGTAATATGTTTAAAGACATTTTTATCAAAGTAGATAAAGTTTTGTTACAAATACTCCCACGGCCACAGGCAAAATTATTGTCTACAATTTGTCATTTTGTTTTCCATATAGGTATACGTTTTATCGGTGCACTTGCACAACATTCGCATTCGCAAAAGCTCCGCATTGATTATTGCGAATACGAAAGCGAATGCGAATGTTAAAATTAATGCGAAAGCTCCGCGGTAGCGAATGCGAAATTGAATATTCGCAACAACACTGATATGTACTGTTATTTAATAAGAAAAGTCGACATATTAATTTTGCATTGGCTTTATTCAACAGGATTTTCGCTTGCATTCTTTTATGCATAACTTGCACTTTATGCCTTTTAGTGTATTCTTGCCTTTATGTTGAATATGTTGAATCTGTACCAACGATGACATCAATTTAGATGCAGCCATTGCTCGATTATGGGAACTTGAGGATGTTGCAACTGTAATAAAACAACATTCCGTAGCAGAAAAACAGTGCGAAGCTCATTTCGCACAACATACCCTCATCAATGAAAATGGGAGATTCATGGTAAGGCTACCATTTCATGAATATCCTTAGGCCTTAGGGGAATCCTATGGGATGACGTATAATCGATTCCTGGCCTTAGAACGTCGACTGGCAAAATCGCTCCAGACAAATAATCAATATGTACAATTTATGGAGGAATATGAGAACTTCGGGCACATGACGCAATTGGATATTGATTCCATCAGTAAACCTAGGTACTTCATTCCTCACCATTGCATTGTGAGACCCGAAAGCCGCACTACAAAATTGCGTGTGGTGTTCGACGCATCAGTAAAATCGTCTACTGGCATGTCTTTGAACGACATCATGTATACCGGAGCGAGCTTTTCACCATTTTACTTCGCTTCCGTTTACCCAGGTTCGCCTTCACCACAGATGTAGAAAAAATGTATCGACAAATGCTCATTCAACCGGACGAGCGCAAATTCCAGCTTATCATCTGGCGAAAGGATTCAAGCCTACCAATAAAGCATTATCAGCTAAATACAATCATATATGGGACAAGATCTGCTCCATATTTAGCCACCAAATGTTTGCAGAAAATTGCAAAAGAAAATGCATTACAATATCCTCTTGGTACTCAGTTTCTACAGGACAATTTTTGGGTAGATGACGGAATTGGTGGGTCAGACAGCTTAACCACGACGATGGAAATCCAACAGAAACTGATACACATCTTAGAACAACGTGGTCTTAACCTAATAAAATGGTGCGCCAAGCACTCACAATTACTGCAAAATGTTGGCATGGAGGAACATGAAGTTGACATAGACTTTGACAATGACATCAATCAAACTATTAAAACGTTGGGGTTAACATGGATGCCTAAGATGGATCGATTCTGCGTAAAGGTATGCCTAGGAAGCTGCAGTCTTGCAACTATACGCTCAGTCAGCGCCGATCTTGCAAGGCTCTTCGATCCGTTGGGGATACTAGCACCAATTTTAGTCATGGCAAAAATGTTTATTCAAGATCTTTGGCAACTAAAACTGACATGGGATGAAGCATTACCAGCCGATTTGAATGAGAGATGGACAACATTCCGAAATGATTTGCAAAAATTGGACAACATGCAAGTTTCACGGCACGTGTTTGAAGGATACATCCGATGCGATTTACATTATATCCGAGCTGGATAAGGGACTAGTACAAGTGGGGCTGCTCTGCGCAAAATCACGTGTGGCACCCTTGAAATGGCAAACTATTCCTCGGCTGGAGCTCTGTGCATCAGTACTGGGTGCTCAATTAACTACAAGGGTCAAATCAGAAATTAAGCTAGACGATGTGGCTACATACTTTTGGACTGATTCACAAATCGTATTGGCATGGATTAACTCATCCTGAGCATCATACTAAACATTTGTGGCAAACCGTATAGCTGTTATTCATGAGCACACTACCGCTGAACAATGGCGGCATATAAGCTCAAAAGACAACCCAGCTGACATTCTATCACGTGGACTGCCGCCGGGGAGGCTAGAAACCTGCAATATGTGGTTTTATGGGCCAACAATCTTGCTTGGTAAAGAAGACACTTGGCCTTCAAAGTATTCCAAGACATTATCAGTAATCGACGAAGGTATCAACATGGAACGGAAAAGGGTGACATCAGTCGCTGTTGCAACCACTGGACATGAAGGAAGCTTACTTTATAGCATTCGACACAATGGCTCTTTCAAAACAAAGAGTAACAAGCTACATGCTGAGATTTATCAATCAGGCCAGAAACCAATCGCGGCAGTCAGACATTCCCTTAACCGTACACGAATTGGAAAAAGCGCTTGTGCTAATCGTTCGTACAATGCAGCAATTGGACTTTGAGGAAGAGCTTCAGCACCTTAAAAAATACAACAAAGTTCGCAAAAATAGTTCTTTCCGCAGCCTGTCACCGTT